TGAGATATATTCTAGCAGACCAATTTGCAGGAACTAGATTTTAGGCACCGTTCCATGCAATTTGAATTTAACTCTTGAAGCATTACACTTTGCGTACACTTTGGATTGTCGTTAGAATTGTCCTATCTGCACTAAATGCTTTACACCACTAGCGCAAGCTTCTGATATGATGCATGCAGAAATGAAAGCGAACAATAGCTTTTATGCCGAATTCGCAAAAGTCATAGCTAATTTACACGTTGAAATAGGTTGAACTTTTTGTATTACCAAAACCACTAATTTTTTATTGTGAAACTTTGTACTGCAAAATTTATCAGGGTTCTTCTATTCTCGAATAAAAAATGCTTATTACTTATGCATCTTTTTCGTCTATTTGTCAGCAAAATCACTTAATGGTTTGTAATGCGAGATTTGGATAAGCCGAATTCCCACACGAAACGGTTTTGTTGCGGATTCTTGGTGTGTATGAACATGTAGTAGAAGTCGTCTTTGTCTGTTCTCGACTGCTTTTCATTGCCCCTTTTTCATTGTTGTGATGAGACCGTTCTCTCAAAAATTTGAGAGGACATATTGAACTCAATGTTCTTCCCGGTGATCTTTATTTTATTTGGTCTAACCTTTTGAATCGACGTGGTGAATCAATTGGTCAGTTTCTTGCGACTTAAGCTTTTATTTATCGGTTTTAACGTTACAGTGGATCATTAAGTATTCGTGCATCACCGATGTCGGGTAAAGCGCTGGCATGCTTTACCCTCCCCCCCCATGCTCAAAATGTGTTTATTGAAGGCGAATACGATATGGCAATCTTATTTAAGTGGAGGCACGATAAAATTCACTGATGGTTTGTCCGGAATCGTCGCTATTTTGCCTATCAGTCTCTTTTGGGGGGTGGTTTCGATGTTGCTGATGTATATTGTGTTCCGGTGCTTTTTGCGTACGTTCTTTGTGTCTAGGAAGATTGTGTATTCGGTCGATGGCGGTATGCAAGTTTCTAATCGTGAGGCACTTTTGCACAGCGGATCTTCCCTATCTCCTCTCCTTCTAGTTAATATTGATACTTACTAATTTCATTAAGCCATACAGCACCTAATCCTAACGTCCCGAATCTCAATACTCTGCATAGGTAATGTACTGGTTTTGACTACTTCACACATCTGTCAACAATAAATTTAATGTGTTACTTTATCTTGACCTTCTTTTGCATGCAACATAGACCACCTTGACTGATAATTGGAGATTTATGACTAATGAGCTGATAAAAGTGGGGAAGCACTGCTAATATTTGTGCTGTGAATGCGCACCTATTATTCTTGAAAACCATATATCTCATTTTACACCATAAAGAGACGTTGTCTACATGCAGGCAGATTCCACTCTGATTCCGCACTTGGAGACGATCAGGTGATCAAAATCAATATTCATTAAGCGGCAGTCTACGCGTCTCGGTACTAACAGCAAGTTCCAATTTTTATATGCAGTTCCTTGACAATCTTTGGCACCTTGTTCTCTTGGGTCTCTGTGTCGCTGGTACCCTGATTCTTCTCTCAGTGGACAGAATCGAGAAGAGCGGTATCTTTGGCAGCAAACTCGAGGTTGTCGATGAGGTTTTTAACGGTGGACGACGCTGGATCACTCGTAACGTTATTACCGTCGCCCTAGCGACGTCGTGTACATTGTCACCGAGCATCATCTCCGAGGCTATTTACCTCTGCAGTGTTAATTCGCTTTGTTTATTCGCCGCAAGGACAGCTAGCTTGCTGCTATGCGTTTGGCTGTGGCACAAAATTGCCCAGCTGGGCCTGGGTAGCATGACTGCTTTTATGGCCTTTCGTTTTAACAATAAGTTAGCCCTATTCCTATACCACATCAATTCTATCTTTGGATTTATCTACATCCTACTCATCTACAACGGAACTCTACTTTATAGTCAGCTGGAGTATTTTAAGCTGAATGTAGATGGATTCCTACTGTTCATCGGCTTCATGCTGTTATGCAGCTTTGGTGGGATGCGTATCGTCCTACCGTTGTGCTCTATTCTCAGTGTAATGGAAATCTGCGGAGGCATCATGCTCCTGGCAAGGATTGAAGGATTCAACAAGACCATGAAAGAGGCGGGCCGCAACCACTGCAGCAGTCACAACCCCCTTCACCTACTGGGCACAGTCTTCCCCCTCCTCCTGACAGCACAGCCACTATACCAACTCTACTACCACATCGGTCCCCAGTGGAGGGCAACGACAGCTATAACCATAGGATACTGCGTTTTTATCCTAAAGTTCCTCCTCGCCTTCTTTGCTGCACAACCCATTAGGATACACGGAAGGAACCTAAGTATACCAATTGGTCGAGACTTCCATACAACCTTCTTCGGTACCACAGAACAGCACAACCTAAAGCGCCAGTTGGAAGGTATCCTTCATGGTGGGGATCTAAGCGACTATGCAATCCGAGTCAGTGTTCTCAGTAAATTGGACGGCTTTACGCTCAACTGTCTTGTCTATGGTCCCATGGCCGCTTTCTACAGTCTCCGACTTTGCCAAATTGTAGGTGAACTGAGCGAAAAATTTATCTCACACCTCCAGATAACGTCGGTAAAACTGACCGGAGGTGAGATGCAGCATATCTATTGTTCTCTCTATAGCCTCATAGCCTGTTTCGTGTTTGTGAGCCTGCTTAGCGCAGATAGAAATATCCTAATGCCTGAATACCGCCATGTCTCTCTGTATGTCCCTCATATTACGAACTTCTTCATGCTCAGCGTCACGACGATGATTGTGTTCGGCGCAGTGGCGCCTCTTGTGCGACTCGTCCACATTCTCTCTGCATGGGGCCTGACTACCCTCCTTACCGCCGTGCCAATGTGCACAATCCTCTGGAGTGGTTACAGTGCGACCATCAGTGAGGCAGTGGTTGATTGGGAGATGCCCATCGACGACATCTGGCTATGCCTCGGTGTGTGGACTAACTTTGGGTGTTTCCTGATCAACATCCTCCTTGTTGTACTACTAGTGTGCCATTTCAAGGAAAGGGGGACATCGATTTCCGAAGAAAACATTCATCAGGCCCAACGCACCAACCGGGTTTCTCCAGGCCACTCACGAGCAGATCACTTACCCGCAGAAATTCGGTCTTGAGTCGGAGTCAAAGAGCCTAACGTTGACAATAATATACATAGCGTCCTCGATGAAAAAGAAATAAAACAACAACGACGGACATTCGGGCCAGTGTGGATAAAGGGCATACTAACCATCGCGTGCTAATTTGTCGCACAGAAGCAAATTTCCAAAATAAACTGACAATCACAAATGTGCGGAACAAATGTATGAAACACTAAGGAACGTTATTTAATTAAACCAAAAAGTGGTTTCAGATTCTAAGCTTCCGAAAATCGAAAATCAAACTAGCTTTAAAATGCTTTTATCATTAGTATACTTTTTCGGCAAAGGTTCAAAACATGGTAATATACAGAAACGAAAAACCACTCAACGTCGAGAACCACGAGCTTTTGGCGACCTGGATCTGCGGTGACCTCCAGAACGGGACCGAGACCTTCTGCGTCTAGAACTTCCACCGTAACGACGTTTACTGCGATTGTAGAGTTTGCGACATAGTTCACGGGATATGGGCTTCAAATGCATAAAGTTGCAGAAACCACCACGCGTGCATTCCCTAACCACAAGATAAAACATAGCAACCAGCGAAAATAGACAACTCATGCTACAAAAGCGTGATGGGTTGTAAAGATCGTGTAAAAGTCATGAATTCGACTATTTAAACATACCACAATTTGCTGAATAATCATTTGACAAACAAAAAACAGCCCGCGTAACAGTAGGCAACAGCTGAATTAACGCAGTGAAAGCTAGTATCCAGAATAAATTTAGCCGGTCATCAGAAATGACTAGAATCATTCTAATAAGACCAGTAAAACAACCACAGCCATCACGAGAGGGAAATGGGGGGGGGGGGTGAAAGAGGCATCCGACGCACCCCAGCTCGTATTGTCGGCAACAAGCCTCGCGAAAATCAGTGACGGGAGAAAGTTCCGCGTGAACAGGTCTTCCACCAAACCAACGTTGGTTTAACATTTTAACCGCCTTTTCAGCGTCTTCTTCTCTACGAAACTTATAAAATTTGTGCTAATTTACGGTAGCCAACCTTAATATATACATTGCCGACCAGATGATCGCCCAGATTATCACAAACATTCATTTCTTCAATCTCACCGTACTTTGATTCGCATTCAACAAAAACCTCCTCAAAGAATTCATCGAAGATTTCCTGAGCTTGAACTTCAGTCATGTTTGCAACATTCTAGGAATGCACTCAAAAGACGGAGAAAACTTGCCTGATTGGCATTGTTATGCGGAGCGATATATAGGTTTTGAAGCAATATCGTCTAAACACACTCAAAGAAAGAAGAACCATCTACCTGGCTGAATGTAGGCTTATTGTGCAGCCTCGAGCATTGTTCTCCATGTCGACATGCGCCGATCTTGAAATAAAAGGAGCAATTAACTCTGGAAATCATGCAACATGACTAAAAATTACTTGTCCTTCTCAGTTCCGAAAATTGATGCTAGGTACTCAGCCATCACCAGACATGTAAGCGACCGCACGTACCGCACTAGGGTGGCCTAGTAAAACAAATACATTAGTAGCATCAAAGAAGGAGATTGAAGTAAGTATTCTGCTTCTTAAAAAATAATAATTTTTTATTTAATTTTGTTGATTTAAAAGCTGTTACTTTTTGCAACCACACTGCATGAGCCTACTAATGTAATTAGGTAAGTTGCTATTTCAGTGAAATTTTAGAAAAGTATTTCCCTTTATTGCAATGAATTTTCAGTAAGCAACAGTGGCAGAGTAACAAGTGCAATCCTTTAAAATACAAGTAGTTATAAACCAGTGAATTAATTAATGAGTAAATGGTCCATTCTTGCAAAGTACTGAGATGCAGTAGCTAATCTCTAAGTTGATTAAACCTACATTAATGGTGCATGCCAAGAGATTTTTTGCATGATATCATTGAGTTTTTTATGTCTTCAAACAAGGAAAACTTTGTTATATTCCACATAATTTATTTAATGAAAAATTGCATGTAACGCAAAAATGCTTTAGTGGAATCATTTCAGACGGGCCACCATTTGCTTGACCTGTTCGATGTGTGGGCCAACGACAGAATCAACCATTTCTCCGTTTTTAAACGCCATGAATGTGGGCATAGCGACGATCGAATAATCAGATGGAGCGTCCTACGGGCAACAAAATCATAAATGCATTTGCTATAGTGTAAATCGTCTTAAAATAACAGGGCTAAAATGGAATTGTACTTATAAAGAGCAGTAAAAAGCTGGAAAATTTTGGTCTAAAAATGTTATTATTTTTAATTGGTGCTTTAACAGCGAAAATTGTGATGTGTTTATCAATAGTTTGCTAGGACCTGGTCATCAAAATGATTTCCTAGTTGCCCGCGATTCAAAAATTTTCAGCCCATTGCTTTAATCAATTGATTTTGGAATAATTTCAGTTAGCCTGTAGTATTACGGTCATATCTTCCCCCAACTTTAAATAATTTTGAATTTCCTGAGTTTCATTAACCTCATAAACATCGATGTCAAGCTTCGCGAACTTGACACTGGTTTCATGTTCGGCGAGTTTCTCGTAGGCGACTTTCACGGATTTGCAAGGACCACACCAGGTTGCGAAGAAGTCGACGATCACCAGGCACTTGTGGCTCATTTCCTTTAGGCTTTCCATATCATTCTACGACCAAGGGAGATCACAGTTTACAAAAAAATTGACATTAATAGGTAAACGTGCACCATACTTTAATAGAATGGCATAGAATAGGATTTAGTACAATTTAAATCGCAGCAATGATAAGAGCATATTGCTGCCACGTACATAGGCGTGAATGCGATATTATGGAATATATAACATCAAAGATTCCCTTGTTTAATTGAGCAACCTTATAACACGCGAATTTTGCGAATAATGCTTACTCTAGTAAGTAAGTAATAATTAAGTTACTGCAGTAAAAACAACAGAATGAAATAAATATATATCGGGAATTCTCTTCATAGTCTGACAGGAATTAATCTCATTAGCTAAACATAAATTTTCCAGTCGAATAGCGCGTCGTATGTAATAATCTAGACCGCCATACAATCCGGAATACCCCTCTTTTTTATTCACACTGATGCTTCGGTAGAATTCTGTCGCAGGATTGGAGATTTCAAAGTATTTGTCAAATTTTGGCTAAAAAAATAACGGTCTTAAAAGGTGTTAATAGAAATTTGCTTGTAACCGCTTTGTGTACTCATTCAGTTACTTCAGAACTGTAGCGTTGTCTGCACTTTGAGTGGCTAAATATTTTCCACATTTACTTTTCTGCCATGAAAATATTGCATTTACTGCCATCTTTTTAATCTGTTTAAGGGAAAATCGTAGTAAACGCCAGTAATCCAGCGAATTCGAATGCAAGAACAGTGTAGTGGAGAGGATTATTGTGATTTGGTCGATAAGTACGGCAAAACAAAGTGTCATGATTACATTTTACAATTTAATAGCGTCGTTATTGCGTAAAGGGCAATACCTTCGGTATTTTTGGGTGAAACACTAAAATACATTGAATTCCTTGCATTGCTTAGAATGAGTAGATCACAAGTAAGGTTAGTCTATGAGTTGCATCACTGAAGAGCCCATGACAGTTACAGCCAAATTTTGAATAACATTGCAAATAGTGATAAACCTAATGGGAAAGCAATTTTCAACAAATAACATATTTAAAATATCAAATTCTCCACTTGGCAGCATTTAAATCCTGCTTACCTCATCGTTTATTACCGTGATCAGAGGTGGTACCTCAGCATCCTTCGCTTCCATCTCGTTTCCACTGCAGCTTCAAATGAAGATGCATCTAATTCGACCTAATCCCTTAATACATAACGTCAACGCCCCTGCAACTAAAACATTGGACGAGTAATTAGACCTGCCTTGGAAATGAAATGGGTGATTAAATGTCGGACTAATGCTTCGGTTACTTTATCTTAAGGTGTGGTGAAGTTAAGCCCCCGTGTATTTTCAACTGCCTGCTTAAATGGAAATTGTGACTTCGCCCTGGGCATTAGGAGTGGTCGCGGGAGTGTCTACCCAGTAACTTTACTTTACTGTTTGTAAATCCATTAAAAGCTAGTCTTATCAATTAAGAAGTGAATGAAACAGTTGGACTTTCCGTGATGTAAACACACGTATCTTGAGGCGTGAGAAATGAATTTTTCGTTCTATTAAAAACTATAGAAGAGCCTAAGGGTAGAAATTCCTTCAAAAGTCTGGTTAGTTATATCAAAGCATATACACGACCTTTTTTACTGAGCTAAAATACAAATAAAAAACGTTCTATTACTTCGATCAAAGTAAAAGCATTTCTACGAAGTCCATTGGGCATTGTTAAATCTATATGACAAATTATTCAGCGTTACCTGTTTACAAAAAGTTAAAACATTGCATAAATTCTGATGTGTTTAAAATATGTTTCATTCAAACGGTCGGAAACAAATCGAACAAAAACACAGCCGGTGGTGCAAAAGTAGTATCAGACTACTACCACTACTTCTGTTGTTTATAGTGTTGACTATGTAGAAACCTTTTATATAATCCTACTTTAATAAGGGATGCAAATAATATGTCGCTTTAAAATATATTCGTTAGACGCGGTGGATCGTTAGTTCGATTCTGCAAATGGGTAAATGCGGGCGTTGTAAACATTGGAAGGTATTTAACACTTAAGATGTTTCACATACAAAATCCATATTTTATATTGGGTTTCCATTGGCTCGCTTTCATCTTAGACGAAGCATAGTTTTAGAATCATTATTCTTTACCCTGAAGACCCGTCGTATCTATCGGATCCCATCTTCGTTTTACAAAAGCCCTTATATGTCTAAGTAAATAAATTGAAACGAATTGAAATCAATTATTCATAAAGAAAATACCAAATTTTGTTGTTAATACAAACCGTAATACTCTAAATAACATCGACTGAGTGATTACTGTAAAATACATGAGTCAGTTTAAAAACGCCTAAACAGGATGCTTTGTAAAAACAAAGATGACATTTTTGACCCACACACATTAATATGCTGCAGTGTTTAAGGATAGAGGATGAATTTGAAGACGGTCATAAAGACAAGTAGTGCTTTGATAGATAGTTTAACTCTGAGTTTGATTACGCAATCCCAGGGCATGGCCTGAGGGCATGCAGTAACCTCAGCTCTTTTGGAAAAACTAAAGTGTACACGTGCATTTTGAAGATGCAACGAAACACAAAAAAATCGAAAGAACAAATAACTTTTCATGGTATATTTCATTGTGCGACCGCTTTAACGCAAACACATACATAATTGAACAACGAAGAGGAGTTCACTTGTTGACCTTACTTTATGACGGGAGATCAGAAATGTCAATAATGCGAATAAGGAAAAGAAACACTGCCTTGATGCCATCTATTCAATTTCTTTCATACGCTTAAATTTGCGAATGCAAGTGCGCAATTTGGCATAGTCACCTCCAACTTGCGTTCCGATTTCCTCATGGTTCTTGAAGAAATAGAAGGAAGGAACAGCGTACAGGCTGTAGAAGGGTATCAAATCCTGTAAATAATGCCATCACACGGTTAATGTTAAAATTGAAAATGAACAACTAATGGGCTGAACAGATGACAAATAACCAGTGCTACTTTAATAGTAAAAGTAACGAAATTGCTCAAACAAAGATTTCCACACGCTACGTAAATTTGTCAGATCTCGCGCCGTTAACTGGCAGCTTCTTAGGGACTTTTTTAAAAAGCAAACCTATGATTATTTCTTTTAGTATTTCCACTTAATACTGACGCTCTTTTGAGGTACAACTACAGTTGGATGTAGAATCAAAGTCAGAACACACTTGGGCATCATCGATGTCAATAATGACAAGAACAACATGCTGATCCTCTTTTGCTAGCGATTCCAGATGCGCTTTGAGTTCTAGGGAATGTGGGCACCATTCGGCTATAAAAATGAAGACAACCAACTTTTTTGCATGCGCTCCTAAGAGAGTGTGGCATTCTTCCTAAAACCAGATGGAAATCTAATTTACATTTTGAATTTCAAATAAGCTTAATAAACATCTTATGTGCACAAGTAAAATGTTCCATGTAGAGAAAATGTGGACTTCGGTCTTGCATTAATAAGCAATAAAATTAAAAGCAACTTGTTATTTGACGCAGGTTTTGCTTCAGTCAAAAAATAGGAATTATCGAGCATATCCACTAATGCTCTATTTAATTTGTGAAAAACTGAGGACCGTAAATAACTTAGCAGCAAAAATATTCAGCAGCTAGATATTTTTAAGTTTTACTTTGTTAAGTCCTTCATTGTTGGAGGTTAATTGCAGAATTACCATGCTCTATTGAGAACTATCGCATATCTCTTAGGTCCCACACTAAGCGCAGTAGTTTTGTGACGATTTTGAATGTAACGACGAAAGAAAATCTTTAGTTGCCTAGAGTCATATACAAAAAGCGATATATTTGTCATCCTGCTGCAAAAGTAAAAAACTTTCAATTTTTTGAGTAATGCCTATTTACTTTTACTATAAGAGAACGGGGAAATCAATGTATTGGCTGACGGATTAATTAATACACGCCAAATTGAGTTTCATTTGCAAAATGTGTTCCTGATTCAGCGTAACTGAGAGGAATATGTCAATTTCTCGTATAATGCCTTAGCTAATTTTACGTTTTTATTATTTCAAATAAATCATTAAATTGGTGAAGAACCCACATAAATGAACAATTGATTATTGGCGTACTCTTGAAATTAGTTAAGACAAATATTCTGAGCAATTGTGAAAGCTTATGACTAAATATTCAACATTCCCTTTTGTTGTATTATAAATATCAGATTGAACAATATGTGCTGATATAAGGAACCGTTTGGAACTTATTCATCTCTATCACCTGAATAAGACTAATATTTTTAGGGCATGGTTAAGACGTCTAATCAACAAAAACTAAGACTTGAGGAAAATTTAAATACGCTTCAACTATGCAAATACATTTCCACAAGCTTATGACAGTACATTGATGCAAAATTTTAAGTTGTAAAAGCCATTGATCAAAGCAATTTATTTGTAGAAAGGAAAATGACCATCTCTATACGTACTTTTGTGGAGGCATAGTGAAGTTGATGCTGTAGATTAAGACTGCTTCGTCTAGGGCTTCTTTTTGGGGGCATGCCCGACTTTTACAGAACAAACTGTGTAGTTGCAAGAGCTTAAATAAGGAACCTTCCAATCCATATTCGGTAACCATTGGATGGCGCCTGTTTTGTTGACGTCGTTCTAGTAACTCTCGTATTTTTGTCCCATTAAGCTTTGAAACTACTTAATGGCATTAATGCAACAAACTTTAAAGCCAAATAAACAATATTTCAGTTTTGGGATATGACAATTCAGCTACACTTTAACATTTCAAATCAACCTGCGTGTCAGATTACGTCAGTACTACCACACATCTTAATGAACAGTTTGAACAGGCAAGAGTGATGATTTTGCATCTAGGTAATGTTTTACTGCATATGTTTGTGTATTTTTAAGCCCTTCCTGCACTAGCGGATTTCAAATTTGGTTGGTTTTCGATACCAAATCACCTTTGTGCTTCCATCTTTAAACAAATATTCGCAGTGATAAAAATAACCCTGCCTTACCATAGACCATAAGTTGTGTCTCGTACAAGTTATTCGATTTTATTACATCATCTAGAAATTCGAAGATTTGCTAACAATTAATTAGTTCCTGTAAGTGAATAATTTGTGCATCAACGATTAGCAACAAGATACTGTCTATATCAATTTTAAATGGCAACATTGTTTTCGATCCATTTATTCGGCTTTTGAATAAAGTTTGATGCTATGGGTAAGTAATCAAAGTCCACAATTCTTTAGCGTTTAAGCCATTCAAAGATATGCGGGAGAATAGAACCTTGGGGCGTGAAAGTACCTATTTTCTGTCGGTCAAGCACTTAATCTGACATAAAATTAAAGACTTTAACTATTTGATGCATTTGTACTTTTGGCGTACATTTTTAACATCACACTTGCTCTTCAATTCTTATTTGAGCGTACTTTGCTGGGGGCTTGCAATTGTTTAAGCACATGATTGCTTCTTACATAAAGTATGCAATGCCGTATTTGCTATTCGGGAATCACTACTTTCACAAGCACAACTGGTAATTTAGAAACGTGACAGGCCAACATTAATTGCATTTATGCTAAAAAAAACGCAAATAACACCCTGTCTAATATATTGAAATGCTGTGGATCTTTTAATCATAAAATAAAGGTTTAACCTTATTTATTTAATAGCAAAATAGCTAATTAGGGAACATAAACCATGATTCGAACTTTTACATGGTAAAGAGGCAGTATAATGCTGCCAAAATTAATTCGCACAATTTATGCAGATGGTTGTTGCCACGCTTTAGTAATAATTCAAAAAACGTGTAAATCGTAAGATTTTGTACACACTTTTTGATAATTTAGACTTCACTGTCCTCCTGTTTTATTAAGTAGATGAAGTTATTTCACTTTTTAAAAAGGGAGGCCTAATATTTTCTTTTACAATAGATCCTCATGTTTTCGACGTCTTGGAAGCAGTTTAGAAGGCGATAAAATTACTCCAATAACATAAATTAGTGCTCCACAAACCAAACATGACATTGATTACCACTCCAGGAGGCCTCGATGGGCGTCCCAACCTCATCATGTTTATTCATAGGTAACCTTTTCATTGGGATTTATTCACCAGTCAAATGTACACTTTTACAGAACTTGACTTATATTTTTAAGGCTCAAACAAGGTAAATAAATAAAAATTAAGTTAACTTTTTGTTTAATTTTATTAACACAGGAAATTACTAGCTTTAACACAGATGGCTATAGTGCTAAGGACCAAGTGCTACTACTGTCATTGTTTATTTTAGAAGATTTTTTTCTTGCATTTGTTTGACAGATTAAATGTGCGTTATTGTATTCCTACAGAAAGGAGTAGTCCCCTTTTGATTCAAGCCGTTCATTGTTATAAACGTCAATCATTTGGTGCCTGCAGCTTTACCTTTACTAAAAACATGTTTTAACGCAATTACGGGCCCAAAGTGAAACCACTAAGATGTTGTGCAGCCCAAAGTGCGCAGAAAGCCAAAGGGTTTAAATTACAAAGGGTTTAAATTAATTAGGAAATTTGCAGAAGATCAATTGTTGAGCTGGATCTCTTCTTGCTTCTAAGTCATTTATTTGCAAAAATCCCTATGGATGGTTGCATTGAATGGATGTACAAAAATGAGACCGGCGGGAGAGCTTGTGAGTCATGGGACCTCTTAACACAAACACACTCACAGACAAATCAAAGTGACAAGCTCATTCGCGCTCCTGAGGGCAGGCGATGAAGGTTTTCGAATACTTCTCAACATCCTTCTTGAGCTTGGTCGGCTTGGTGGTCACGCGTCTACCGAGCTGTGACAACAAAACAACATGATTAATTCCATTACCAGGCTTAATTTTGCATTATATACGAGGACCTTGGTACCTAAGCTACTTACAAGAGTACGCTTTCGGAAGAAGAGAAATGTCGGACAGGCGGTAACGTTTAGATCACGCGCAAGTTGCTGGAGAAGAAGGAATAGAAGAACGACGATTTTTCTTCATATTCGAGGAAACCAATGAAGGGCATGTAAAGAGAAGTAACTCACAAGATTTCTTGTAGCGTCGACTGCGAGGATAATGAGCTTTTTGAAGTCCTTGCTAATTTCCTGAAGTGTGGCCATAAGGTTCTCGAAATCCTCATCGTTAAATTTTACGAAAGCCACCATGATTAGTCTCGCCTTGGCCTCATCAAGACACTCGTCAAATGACATGTTAATCTAAAGAAGTTTGGAAGAAAATTTGATGTTTAGCCGTGAAAATTGAAATGGATATATATAGTCACCAGTGTACCTCACAAAGACCGGACATTATTTTTTCCTAAGAAGAAAAAAAACAAATACATTATTAGAATTCCTGTGGAAATGGAGTGTGAAGTTGTCTGCTCTAGGTTGCAAATACTTACAGTTAATACAGTTGTTAGGTAATCCAACAAACTGGCGCTCTCAAATGATTGACTTTGTGAATCCGTAAGTATTTAAGTCGCTGAAAGGTAGTTGAATGCACACCGCTAGGGGCAATCTGATTGGGTTCTCAACTTCACCTCACCTATCTAAACACTTACCACCTACGTGATGGAGAAAATGCCTAGGTAGTGTCAGCGGAATTTAGACTCTATTCTTGGCTCACGGTGCCCGCTATTTCAGAGTCTTAGTCATCCACTCACGAGGCAATCTATGGCGTAGTCGAAGAACCTAAGAACTACGGTCGCAGAAATTAATTTAAATATGTCACCTGATGTTTAAAAAGTCATGTTAGTCAGTACCTCAATAATCATGATGATCTGAATTCAATAGAAGAATCACTTTAAAACCTCTCCTTTAAATATATATTTATGGACAAAAAGCTACCTCCAAAAATTAGTGATGTATTTTGATGCAGACACTACTTTCTTACACCCTACAGGTCTTTAAAATTTCTATTAGTCAGCCATACAACCTTAATGACCCAGATTATTAGTAAATATCACTGGATGCTATGAGAAAGAACATTCAAGAAGCATATTGAGAGTAATAGATAATTAGCTGTGTTTAAAACAAAACTTCGGTAAATAAAGTGAAACGCACCAACTATGTAAAGCAGGGCTTCGTGCGTAGTAATAAGGTGCTGAAGAGATCGCAAACACCTTATCAGATCTGATGAATAAGACGGAATAGTCAGCACAGTTAATTAAGCTAATTTAAAAGTTGCTGTGTAAGCAGTTATAAAAGGCAAACTTGTTAAGAATGAGGAAGAAAAATGATTTTCTACATCGATTCCCTGTCGGCCTTTACGAATGATGTAGGTATCTACAAGATTTGAGGCAAATAGATGATTTGCTCCACTTGGATCGCAAATTTTAATTGCTACTTTATGTTCGCTTTTAATAGATCATATTGTTTTCATAAGTTATTTTCAGTTTTTCCATGAAAAGGGAGTAAAATTAACCTAATTTGTGATCTCTTTCCAACAGTCGCTTGCAATGATTCGTTTCTTAATTGCAATGTCTGTAGCTTTCACACTGACAAATTCAAAGCTTAAACTGAGGAAAGGTTTGGAATCAATATTTTCCAGCATTTCGATACTTCAAATGCCCCTACGATTAAAAAAGAGGATTGGTTTTGTTCGTTTAACCGGAAGGTCACAGTTCAGGTGTTGGCGTTCGATGTGAGAGGCATTTGTGTAGAAGCAGTGAGAGTACATTGCGTCACAACATTATTCACTCTCTGTGAGTTGCAACTGCTTACATAAGCTCCTTTAAGTCACATTGAATAGGAAAATCTGGGTGTGACAATTACACCCGAAGAATTATCTTGCCAATTTCATCCTGACTTTTTGAATCCTTGGTGGGAAAACAGTAGAAAGCAAATAACACCTGCTAGTACAGGGCAAAGTTAAATGTTAAATGCAAAATTCCTCTCTGGTTAAGCCCAAAAACATTGCAAAATATAAAGCAAGGATGATTAATGCGAGCCAACGCATACAAACTTGGCTAAAGGGGTCAATAATTCTGGTTGACACAGAACTGATACATTTATTCATTGTTTTGTTGGAAGGCCCAACACGATAAATGTGCCATTAGTAAAACACGTGAAAGTGTTATCCACGATATGATTCTAGTATAAATTTGCCAAGTTGCGCTATTCATTAAATTCGAGCGTGCACCAAAAATTACATACGCTTAAAAATTTTAGCTCGTGTTTTTGGTTAAGTAATCTCTTAAATTATCCATTTTGAATAACCTTATTAGGAGGAAATTATGTGAACCAAAATAATCACCAAATCATTAAGCAGATGTTACATCTTAATAGGTGTATACAACTTGTGGATTAAAACTCGTGTATGGTACGTCAGTATAAATCTTCAAGTTCTAATGACACAATAACCTGTTAAGTAGCTCTTATTTAGGTCAATTTTACGATTTAAAACACTGTTCAACGTTATATCACCCTACTTTTCTCCGTGAGAGTGCGCAAGTTTTTTTGGCGATGTAGTATTTTTTTGTCTCCGTCGACTAGCATCAATTGCACACAAGGTCGGTGCCAATGCGAAGTGATGTCTGGCAGAGTATGAGTGCTTCGGTGATGAATAATTTGAATTGCGACAGGGGTGTGGGCCTCGACTGATCTTCTCATCACTAATAGCACGCAAGCACAAAGACAATGCCATGCTGGCATTGGTTAAAAAAGGCAAAATAAGAAAAGTACGTTGATTTGATTATTGAAAATGCATTCTAGTGTTAGACATCGGAGAATGAGTTTAACCCAATCAATGGAAGGAATACCACACTATTTGTAACAAGTTCGTCCGATATCACAGAATAATTTATTCCTTGGTAAATTTTGTTTTCAGAATGCAGTTCCAACTGTATCAGCACATTACTTCTTAAAACTTCTGATATATTTGAAAGTGAGGTGTCACGCAATTACAACCGGTAGACGAATGCTCCACAATAGTGAAAAGCACTAGAACTTTGCAAATAGAAACATGATAAGGTGATAAGTGATACGTAATTATAGACAATTAATATGAGGTTAGTTTAAAGCCGGATGTTTCTAAGTGTATCTCAAGTGTCACTGGAGCAATAAAATCCTAGCATTTATAGTTTTGTAAAATATATTTTTAGATTTAGAATATTTCTTGGGATAACAGGGATTTACGTTTAATCCACTTTCCTTCCGAGGTTTTATTTCGCGTTTCCGGCATCAACAATGATATTTATGCAGAGGGTTCAAAAAGCTCATATAATTTAACAATAAAGGAAAAATAGTTATAATAAGTCATTAGTAGAGGTCCAGCTACTAGAAATGGTAAAATATTTACGCTTTGGCTATCTGAATTTTTAGCTGCTACAAAGTATTTTGAAACTTCGTTTAACACCGCGTTTGATGATGTAGGCACTGAAGTCTGGGTAAATTGTACCTCCACTCAGCGGCATGGCCTCAGGACCATTCCAGTAGTCCCGACTCTTCTATGGGTCAGTAATTTATCTTCTTACGAATTCAGAAAAGACGCGGAACGCTAAACTGGTGACAGTGGCAAGTGAATCCGATCCTAAAAGTCAACTACCTTTAATCCTATTGTTGATAGACAAACCTTTGCGTTACGAAAGAAGGGCAGTTGTCAACAATGGTAGAACCTGTATAGACTTTTAACAGAAGATTTAAAACCAACTTCAACCTTCGATAACTATCCCAGTCCCGTGTTCTGCGAGAATGTCTTTAAAATCTGAAGCGATATTAGAAGTGAACCATTTAGAAAGTTTCGTTCAGGGGCTCTCCACGGTACCTCTCTAAAGATGTCGCTTAAGTGAACACGCGATACCTCCTCCACCTCTTTACTGTCTAAGTAGAAGCCAAAGAGGTGGGGCTAGACAGCACTGAAGAGAGAACAAAATGGTAAGGGGGAGTGGAGGCGGAAAATTATCCTCCTAAATCTATTTTGAACTAGGTCTTTTATTAAACGATTCCGCTTTTAGGGCACTGTTCGTAAGACTGGAGATGGGTAGAGTGTCTAACCAGTCTCCAGTGGTATGAGGATAGTGCATTCCTTTGCTCCCCATTACAGTTCTCAAATAAAACGAAACTTTAAAACTAATGGAATTGTCAAGATGGATTAGTGCCATTGGTATCGAGTAAACCCTCTTTTGCACTCAAATTTGAAGACCAGCGCTGCTGGTTTGTGGGTTTTTTAAAGCACCGAGTGTGTTTTGATGACTGAAGTGGGAAGTTGACTAAAGGGTGCACTATACTAAATGATCTAACTCAGTTCTTCTGTACTTCACTAGTAGATAGTCTGCCTTACTGCCCACGACTTCTCACGACTTCTGTGACAAATTAGAACGCGGCATAAAAAGGAAGTAAAATTCAAACGATTTTTAAGTAGATTTCCTATTACAAAAAATACTAATCCTACAATTTAAAAGAAATACTTAAACTAGTGTAAAGGATAAATGTCTGAGAAAGGCAATTAAATCATTTGTGGATTTTTATCATAACCATGCTTTTATAATAATGAATAAACTTTTCGGTGCTTTAAAGTCAATTATTCTATGTATATTGCGTCGAATCGATGTCAGCAAATAATGCTTCAAGGTATTAAGTAGTGATCACGTCAGCTAACCTCCTTGACTGGAACCCGATTCAACGGCGTAACTTCACTTAAATTGTAACTGCTGCTGCCATTCAAAATCATCCAGAATTACACGGATAAGTTAAATGGTAACTAAATTGACAGTAAAATTGACTACAATTGGATGACTCTACTCTAACTAAAGTGACTTTCTATAAGTCACCACTACTACAAGCTAGAGGATTTTTATTTACAATGATATTCATAACTTAAATTTCCTCGACTCTAGAAGCATTGTTGATGTCTTACAGACCTGATGCGTTTAATCTCTAGGTGTTCTGTGATATTTGAGGTGGATTTAGCCCAACATGCACTTACATTTACTACTTTTGCTACTCAGAACAATCAATCGAGAATGCCATTTTTCATATGGAGTACAATTAGCTGCAATTTTTAGTGAAATTGGGTGAGGTGACTAACGAATCAGGAGCTCTTCTGAGTCACGATTGCAAGCACCGCGTGGATGTTGCTGCGGTAATTGATTTGCGTAATCTGCACAATTCTCGGTTTACCTCTTTTTGCTAAGTTCAAAGCGGCATTTAAAAAAATTACCTAACCTGATCATAATCATATATATATATATATATATATATATATGCTCCTTTTTATTCAACACTTTGCTTACGCTGAAAGACAATCTATCAAAGAGCGAAATTTGTTTATTCGTCTTACTGACAGCGTTTAAATAAATTTGATTTAATGTCTTATTTATTCTGGAATATATGATTGCAAACTTCATTGGCATACCTCCAATTACACTATGACATTTGTAATGTACATACCGACACATCTTGCATGTTGCGTTAGTGTGTTGGCTTATTATTTTCACATGAGATACTTTCATTCTCATAGTTCCTCTCTCTATGGAAAGCATCAAGCGCCACGGCACATAAGCATCCTTCAAAATATCATAAGGAGTTCCATTTGCGCATACCAGGCCCTGAATGGTTATTGTGATATGGCTCCAAAAGCGAAAATGGCACTCAGATTGCTTAATTTGTAAAGGGGTAAGACTTATACCAAATTGCCCAAATAATTTAGAAATTTAACTAAGAAACCCCTGTTAGGGAGTTGCCTTTATAATATATAACAACAGCAACCTAGTCTCAGCTATCAAAAACGGAGATATCACCAGCTAGATTGCCGGTTTTTTGAAGCAGTCTAATTTTAGTGAGCTTGATCACTCTCGTTAAGGTCCCTTTAATATCACAGTTGTTTTAGGTGTTAAAAAAGTTCATTCTTTGGTAATGCTGTTTGCACTACAGCTTCCTAGTTTTTTTTATGCAGTATAACAATTGTTTTTCTCAAGGGTATCATATCGGCGTAGACGATGAATCAGTCTGGTTCATCTTCAAAATATCTTGACACATTTGCGGAAGGTTCCAACGATAACCGTCCTGAAAGTGGCCCTTATCCGTCTTCCTGTTTTATAGATTACATGGTCTCTCATAAGGTGACTGCAATGATAATATTCATCCTAAGTTAATCCAACTAAACATTAAACGCTTATTCGGAATTATGGAGGATATTGTCAAAGTACTTTTTACAGTTTAGCCGGATGTTAGCAATTTTATAGAGGAAGTCAAGGATATATTATTAAAGTCATTAATTCTATATTTTACAGGATATACTGAGCCAGTGGCTAATTTCCAAGTAAATTTAAAAAAGAATACATAAAGCGTACACTCCTAACGCAATAAAATTATTGTTCTATCACATAACGATACGAACAGATTCATTTTTACGATAGAAGTGCGTTATTTTAGAGCTCCAATGTTTCCCTGAAAACGTGCCAACACAGAGGAGTGTTGTTGGTGTACAAAAGGGCCGGGAAGTTTAGCCTGCGCAGATTGAAGAGCCAGGTGGTTTATTGTGAGCTAAAACAAATATTAAACTACTGAGCTCGGGTGATTTTCATATTTATGGGTTCAAAAAATTACTCATGTAATTTGGTTTTTGGAAGCAAAGAAAACTGAAATTCGAGCGGAAGAAACCAAATTTCTTATGCAGTTCAAACGATTCTGGAAAAATAACTTCAGAATATTTCAAATATTTTCGCTTAATATATTTCTAGTAGAGTTCAAAACTCACACAAGTAACCTACCTATTTTCAATTTCACAAAAAATTAAAGATGGTATATTGTGTTGGGAATTTCTGACCAAAACGTTATTGTTAATTAACAGGAATATTCTCCCACCTATTGTTGAGTCAATTTTTAATGATGCGAAGATTTTTGTGATTTCCAAAAAATATCCTTTATTTTGATTCGGAGAACTCCAAATTATAAACTCGACCCGTAAAATTGGGTCACTGAGGATTTTAAAATGTTACTCTTTTTATTCAAGTGGTGAAAAACCAAATAACAGCTCTATTTATGCCCTAATTTTTAGCAATTTAACGTGTAATATGTGTCGCCTTAAGACTTCCCTTAGAACGAAAGAAGACATAACATTTTAACAGATTGTGTATTGTCGACGTACAGCAGGGCTTGCAGCTACTAGCACAGCCAAGAGGCATTTTAATTATAAAAATCATGTTCAGTAGATTTCAAAATTGGGATCCCACTAGACCCTTTATCTCAATTGGTTCATGTCGCATAAAATACAGCAGCCGAATGAAATTTTAAAATTGCGAAAATAGTTGCCGAATAGTCTCGATTCATCGTTGAAACTCAGGCGCCTTCACACAAGCGCCTCGCGCATCAGTGCTTATTCGTGCCAGCCCATGCACACGTAAATCATTGCACCACATTTTTTGTGGTTCTGGTATACTCCTTTATCTAAAGTGTGCCCTAATGCCAAGGGTGCATCATGCGCCTTAATGTACACCTAACTGTCATCTTGATGATAGCCATACAGACTTACTACTTTACTCATACTAACTAGCAATTATTTGTTAATATTAACATGACTTTTAAGATGATTTTTAAGTCAACGGAGTCCACTATTAGCTAGTTAATGATGATTTTTCCCCTAAACTTTTGTCCTTTTATTCGTATTTTCCTTTATTTACATGAAGACACTTAATTGGTTTGCACTGATTTTTATAACCAGATGTGTTGGTGCTTAATGAGCAAAATAGTATTTGGCCATCAATCCATTATTGTGAACAACTGCAAACTTTAAAAAGGATGCAGTTTATCGCTCTGTTGGCCTTGAATTTAATGTTTAAGTGACGATTGGAGATGTCCCACTACGCATAAAAATAGCAACAGTGACTTGGGAAATGAGAAGGTAATATAAGAACATTCCAGGTTTTTCATTTTACTTTTGCTCATAAACAACAAAAAATTTAAATATCACTTCAAGCCGGAAAGGTATTAGCAATAAATACATTTATTTGAAATATATAATGAGTAACTCCAGATTTTCATCAGTTATGCACAAATGAGATTGTAACTCAAGCTTGCAAATCAAGTAGTTGGACATAACTGCAGCGCCCCGAGGCATTCCTGAATTCATAAGAAGTCATAGCAGGGTGGGAGAGGATATACCACTGACGTACAGAAGAGACGAGTTTACCAGGGTGACTCGAAGGTCATGACACCGAGGAGAAGTACACTGTGCGGGGACTTAAGTGTTCACGTAGTCAAACTGAGTGTTAACCAAGCTATCAAACGCTGCATTCAATCCTGAGTG